CCACCGCTGTCAACAGCACTACGGCCATTCGCTCAAACCTACAGAACTTTACTCACTAACTAGTCCTATGGCGTCTTTAGATCCAGCGTGTAGCATTACGGATGGACCGTTTAGCATAACGTATGTAAAATGTGAATTCGCGTAGGTTGTTTCCTCCTAAGGTTTTTATCGTGCCACAACTGCTCGGCACCCGCTCAAGACCCAAAGCATCTAGTCCACGTTTTCTGGTTTGATCAAAACAGCAGCTGCTATATTTATAACTGCTCCGTCGACACTGGTCAGATGAGAACCTCAGGCTTGGTACTACTCGCTCAGTATGTTGTCTGCTGTGATGGTAAGTTGTGCTAAACCGTTAAAAATGGCGGTACCTTACGGGCTGAACAGATTCCCCACCCTACTTGGGCAGCTTTGTTATTCCATCTGTTCTGAATAAATAAAATTTAACACGAGTGAAACTTTTCAACTGCAGTTCACATATAAGCTCGAGAGAGAGCCCGTTAGGCACAACGGAACGAGTGAGTTCCGTAAGAACGATTGGTGAGCGCCCCTCTACCAATAGCGGAACTTGTCCTGAGGCGATTAGTTAAGGAAGTACGTTTGCCTTTGTATAGACACGAGTGTAAAGCGGAGAGTGAATGCAGAAAGATTAGGTAATGTGCACAGTTAGTAAATATGTCTTTACTATGGCAGTGATGGCGAAAAAGCAGTTACATTAGAAAAATCTCGGATTGTTCAAAAGGTTGACGAAACAAAGGGACATCAGCTTAGGACCCGGACTCTAATTTGAAAAAAGCCGTGAAGGTTCCTCTTGAGATATCTTCTAACACGGAACCCAGCGAACACATATCTCCGCATTTTGAGGGTTCATACGGGTATAAGTCAGATGTTGCCCTCTCTGACTACTTACATTGTGCGATAAAGCACTCCCAAAGACCTTTCAGCAGCCCGAAAACGGTGATGTGAAGAGAAGGCTTTTTCACTTATAAAAACCAAGGATTTAAGGACATAGCACAATTAACAGAACCCAGGTCATATTCGTAGACAGTATCCTTAAATTCACCGATTTGGTAGGCTACAAGGCCTTCTTTTCCTTGATATCAATCTGTACGAATAGACGCAGGGTATATTTTTGAACTTCTTTTTTTGTGTAAAAAACCACAGCAAAATGTCCTACCTAGACTGCTTTTCGATTACCCGTAAAGATAAGTGTGCAGCATCGCCAGGAACGTTCCGACTTTACCTGCCAATCAGTGGAAGCGCGGTAAGCATATCAACGAAAGCTGAGTCGTTGGATCAAGATCCCAATGAATTAGGTTGGATATGTAGGTCTATGTACATTTCGACTCTCACTTTAAATTTCCTTGTAAACCTGAACTTTTCTGTAGTGCTGTTTGAGTATGCTAGCATGCACACAAGTGGTTTCGGCTTACGTTAACGCGTGCTTTGTGTGCGTCTGCTGCATGATGTCATTGCTTTGTTGACTACGCTTATGTGCCTCAATTCTTTTTAGTCAACTGCCACGAACAGTTTTTATTCCTCGGTCGTATCTTGCCGGACGTGAATTTCCTCGAGCAACAATCCCCACTAACTGACTTTGACTCGGAAATTTCTGGAATTTACACAGGGCATTCACGCTATAGCTACTGTCATTGGAGGTGACTTCATTTTTCGTGAGGCTGTACAAATACTGACCTTTGTCGTTTTCCCCATATTCTTCTTGCTATCGTTTTTTTTGTAAGAAACGCAGCGTTTCCCGACTTAGCGTTACGTTTTTCCTGTATCTACTTTTCCCTGTAGTTTTGACTGTTGTTTGCACTACAGATACTAGAAATTACGCGTCAAGACATAGCCATTTCATGAGAGGAGGCATAAAACCTGCTCTGCTGACAACAAAAATAGAGTTTCGACAACCGAAACGGACATTTGATTGGCCCCGGCCTACTGTCTCCTACAAAAAGAAATAATGGAAACACCGGGGTGTGTTGTTTGAAAAAAGGGTCGACGTTAAATGTCAGATAGTATCTTCGGGAAGGAACGTGTGTCATGCAGCAGTAGATGTATTTCCGGTAAGTTTTTCAGGTGTCCGCAGCAGGCCTAGCATCCGTTTTCCCGTTTAAGTGTCAATAAGCCTCACTGCATTGGCTATGCCGGTGTTTGCAGGGTGCGGTAGCAACTCGCTGTCGAAAATCAGTCTGCTAAAGTCTTTATCTGAAGCAATATCCCTTTAAACGTGGGGTACTTGCAACTAACTTCCACTGTCTTTATAAAATGGGCTATCTCTCACTGCGAGGATCATTAAGGTGATAAACGTTAGTGTTTTCATGAAGAAAACGCCTGTTTCATTGCCCTTATGCTCTGTATCGTGTAGTGATTTGGTTTTAGATGGTTTTGTCTTTGCAGCGTTTTAAAAACTCGCCCTGGAGTATACATGACATGTAATAATCACACGCATTGTTGATTCCGTGGATCGCGTGGATCCCAACGAAACCTTCCGTGTGATTTACAAGGTCCCATCGAACTTCCCCAGGCGCCTGGGTCAGCGTCTGATCGCAACAGCAGGGACGACTACCACCAGGTTTCGAAAACCGGTCTTATGCGCATAGATGAACTTGGTACAAACACCACGCTTACCGTGGCCAAAGGTCGGTTGACGACCTGTACTCATCCGCGCCCTCTCCCCTTCCGGCTAACCCACACCGACGGTCAAATCACGGTCCTTTAATCCTTCTCCCCCCTGATCCCAACCCCACCCTTGCATGAAATGATGAACTGGAATCAATATCTCTTATCATTCGCATGTTTTACTTGTACCGCTTCCCCATGTAAATGTACTGGCCCGATGAGAATTTATCGAGGGCACACGTAGACTCGCTAACTGGTCTTATGAATCCTTCAGTGGGAACTTTTGCACATCCAGCCACTTTTTCGCTTTTTACTGCAAAAGACCAATTGGCGAGGCTACATTTGCTTTCAACAAATTCTCGTCAGGCCAGAACATTTATGTGGGAACGGGGTAGAGGTAAAAACACTTCAATGACAAGAGAAATCGATTAAAGTTCGTCGTCAAATACGGACGGGGTGTGGGTATAGGGGTAGGGGGGGTGGGGGGTGGGAAGGTAGTAATAGTCATTGCCAGGGTTGGGGTGAGAGCGGAAGTGCGCGGAAAGTTGTATGGTTAGTCGACTTTTGACCACGGTAGGTTCGGCGCCCGA